ACACGTCTGTCGAGCAGCATTGTCATTGACTTTCCTGTTATAAGGCTTGAGATAGCGTGGGGAGTCACCTTCTCCCAGAATAGTTAAGGATCTTTCTCTCTAATAGTGGGTACCTAGGGTTTATGGTTGTATTTGCTGGAAACCTCTAATTTTGATTATTCATTAATACGATTCTCTATGAAGTCAAGAGAACCTATTTTTTTTGTTTGTTTGTTTTGTCTGTTTCTAAGAGAACCTATTTTAAGAAAGCCCCGTTTCATATGTTTTAAGTAGATTTCCACTTTGTAGTCAGGTAATATAGGTAATCTTTTATTATCAAATATTCATTTTGGGGGGAGGAAAGCTCCCGTCTTTTCTCCAAGACCTTAGGGATTTCTCCTTTGTTTTACATTCCATAGACATTTCTAATCTTTATTTTTCTTCCTTTTGTATCTGAATAGGGCTTTATTTTCTTTTGCAAACTTAATTTAGAATGTTTCAGAGAAAAAATAAGGGAAAGACTAAAATACCAAAAAAATACATATTAATCCTCTGTTTCTTTTTATTTCAAGGTGTAAAAAGATGGTTCCAGCTTCAAAGAGGTTCACCATACATAGATCTTCTAATGTTCTTACACTTTCTCTGAAACGTTTTGCAAATTTTACTGGTGGAAAAATTGCTAAGGTATTTAGATGATAGTATTAATAATCTTCTATGTTGAGCCTTTCTTTTTTTTTTTTTTTGTTAAATTTTTATTTTGTCAATATACACTGTATATGATTATTATGGCCCATCACCGACACCTCCCTCCCTCCTCCCTCTCTCCCCTCCCCCCCATATGTTGAGCCTTTCAAGGCTTAAGTATCAGCAGCTATTAAGGGTTGTAAACAACCTAATTGAACAATTTTGTTGACTAGTTTTCTAAGTTCTTCCAGCATTTGGTAGCAGAAAAAAAAGCTCAAAGAATTGAGCCGGTCATTTGGTATGTGTGCTTATGTGTGTATGTGTTTTCGTATGTCCTTTAGCTGGCTAGACTTTCTTTTTTCTTTTTCTTTTTTTTTTTTTTAAAGATGACCAGTAAGGGGATCTTAACCCTTGGCTTGGTTTTGTCAGCACCACGCTCACCCAGTGAGCAAACCGGCCATCCTTATATAGGCTGCAAACCCATGGCCTTTGTGTTATCAGCACCACACTCTCCCGAGTGAGCCACGGGCCGTCCCTTGGCTAGACTTTCTAATGATAAAATTGGTAACTATTATCTGCATTTTGGCTTCGTGGTCAATTCTTTGATATCCATGGTAATGAAGGGGATACAGGAAGAGCTTGTTTAATTTGAGATCCAAAGAGGACTTGACTTCCCTGCTAGATCTTGCCACTCTTATCAAAATTCATTTTCTTGTTTGTTCATTTGTTTTCTGATTGGTGGTACCCTGAATTTCCCATTTTCTTCGCATTTTCTGAAGGTTGAAAATGGTCAAAAATTCACTAGCATACAAGAGAAATAAACAGTCCATTCCTGAATTATTAAAAATAAAAATAAGTGATGATTATTAATGTCCAGAGATGTCATTCTGTTACTTTCTCCTTTGATAGATTTCAAGAATTCACTTGATGTGGATCCTGATGTGTTTAAAGGAAATTAAAAATATAGTGGGGTTGTCTTAGATATATTTAGATTCAGGAATCCTGGATATAAATGTTAGGTTTCTGCTAGAACATTATAGGGTGCTGTGTCCTGCGGTTCTCATCCTAGAACACCCTGAATACCTTGCACCTGAAGATGTAGAATGTTCTGTTCCTCCAGAAATGATGTTCCTTTCTCCTTTTTTCATTTCTGTTTAGGATGTGAAATATCCTGAGTATCTTGATATCCGGCCATACATGTCTCAGCCAAACGGAGAACCAATTATTTATGTTTTGTATGCAGTACTGGTACACACTGGTTTCAATTGCCATGCTGGCCATTACTTCTGCTATATAAAAGTAAGCTGTGCAGATTTTGCTTGTAACCATTTTTACATGAACACTGTAAGACAGCACTAGCATTCTTGTGGGGGGAAGGTAGGACTTTACAGTTAAGTGTGAATTCCCACTTTCCCTTATATATCTCTTGACTGTGTTCCACATTTATCTAATTAAATGTAATATCTCTCTTTTTGGCTCTCTTTTGCAGGCCAGCAATGGCCTCTGGTATCAAATGAATGACTCCATTGTATCTACCAGTGACATTAGATCGGTACTCAGTCAACAAGCTTATGTGCTGTTTTATATCAGGTATTGTCATGAAAACAAGTTGTCAAATTTTCTGTTATATCATTTCTTTTCGTCTCATCAACATATTTAAATTCAATATTCAGTTATTTTTTAAAAAAGCATCTTAAAGATTAACTCTGCCATGTGCTTGGAGAGTAAGGAAGGTATGTTTTGAGTATAGATTATGAGTTTGCTTTAGCTTCCAGCTCCTTGGCAGGTTAATGTTGAAAGGTGCAGAGGAAGGGAAAAGTGATAGCTGAGGGGAGTGGTCTTCTGCTGCTAGTGGCAAATGGAGTGGGCCTGGGGGCCGTGGAGGCAATGGGCGGAGACCTCAGGGAGGAAACTCTGAGCACCAAGTGTGGTAACAGCTGGCACCACCCAGTCACTGAGCACTGGCAGCTAGTCAGTCACCTCCAGGGCCAGCACCAGCGCTGTGTCTGTCCTGTTGTGGCTGCATACTCTGACTCACTAATTCCATTTTTGGAAAAAATCTGATGTGTGCTCCAAGGTGTCCTTTTTAATAACTGAAAATTAAGAATATCCTAAAATGTCCAACAATAGAATGATCATATCCATATGTTGAAATATTATGTAGCTGTTAAGAGTGATTTTTATGAAGCATCTTTTTAATGCTTTGAGAAAGTGCTGAATATACATGGAGAAAAAGCAGTTTGAGACATTAAACACTGGTATTGGAAATGACAGTATGGGCCAAAGCCTGGAGAATAATCAGCTGAATCAGCATAGGAGCTGCCTCTGTGGGGCAAGATGGGGGACAGTGTTTTGTTCCTATTTTTCTGGATATTATAGATCTTCTACAGTGATATATACTGATAATTAGGAAAATATAAATAAGCAGAAAAGAAAAATAGCTTTCAGTTAGCAACATCCTTAGAATACACAATTAAAAAGTATCATTTACCCAGTTACCCTTGTTGTTTTTGATCTGAGTATCTGACATTAACCTAAATCTGAAGGACATAATGTGTATAGCTCTGTTCAGTGTAACAGAAAAGTACTATTTTTTCTGTCAGTTTTCTGTCTGTGGGGTTAAGTGCTGTTGAGTTTATAAATGAATCTCTTCTAAGGAGCTGTCTTGGGTCATCCTAAGGAATGTCACTTTCTTTGTCTCCAGGTCCCATGATGTGAAGAATGGAGGTGAACTTACTCATTCCACCCATAGCCCTGGCCAGTCCTCTCCTCGCCCGGTAATCAATCAGCGCGTTGTCACCAACAAACAGGCCGCATCTGGGTTTATTGGACCACAGCTTCCTTCTCACATGATAAAGGTAACATTTCATTCATAGAGTATAGTTTTTGTGTAGATTTTTAAAATGTATTCTTTAAACCCTCAAGTTAACATTTTGGTACTTGCCGTGTTCTCACCGTGTTCTCATATACAATTGAGCTTTTTTGTCAAAGGAGTTTATTCAAGCCCTTTATTATAAAATATTTCAAACATACAGAAAACTTTTCTTAGAGTATGAATAGAATGATCAAGAGGAAAATCTGGGCATAAGTGTATTTAGATTTTAGCTCCCACTTTGGATTTCATTCTACTCAATGAATTAAATATTGGGGATTCTTAGTTAATGTTGGACTCCGGGAAAGTGACCTTTTTACAAGGACACTTTCATTATGTCCATTTAGCCATTTCAGGAGTGTCATACTTTCTGTCTGCTGTCCAGCTGGGGTTTGATGAGACTCCCCAGTGGTCCTGTCAGAGAAAACTGACAGTGTGCCTGTGACACTGTGTCACATGGAGCTCAGTATTCACAGAGTGGGGCCTGACTTCTGCCAGACTTACCTGTGAGGTTGTGTACAGCCTGTCTGCATCTTGGAATAATCCGTATGATTTGGGCTTTAGTGTTTTAACAGCTTTTCATTTTGAGTTTGTTTTGAATTATCAAATTGTCTTGTTGTGTGCTTTTTTTTTTAGTCAACATTGAACAGTATTTGAATTATAGTAGGAAGCACAAATCAAATGCCTTTGTGAGCAGGGCAGGCAGCAGGCTCCTGAACTGGGCTCTGCTTCAGGGTGACATCAGGGCACTGGCAAACCAGAGAGCACATGTCCTCTGGAAGGGGGCGGCTGTAACCGATTTTTCAAGAGTTTCTGTTTGTTTGTTTGTTTTTTACCCTAAAGCCTTCCAATGTTAAGATAGCAACTAATTCAGCTATTTACAAAAACATTGTGAAGGCTAAACATGATTCATCTATAAACCAGCTTTCACCCCTGAGCCTCCTGGGGATGTAGCAGCAGCAGTGGGGTCCTGGAGCAAAAGAACTGTATGAGGTGAATTTGGAGACATCACGGGTGCTGAGGGGGTGGGTGTCATGGCTTAGTGAGCGGCGCCTGAAGCCACTTCTTCTGTCTCTGCCCACATGACCATCTCCCACATTCTGAGGCCAGCGGTGGTTCCTGCTTCCTGGTACTTCCTTCTGTCTGTTCAACGCTGGGCTCCAGGAAACCCAGCCAAGGGGAACACATGCGACTGTGTGCCCAGAGGGACTGCCAATTTGTCAGACTTGGAACAGAAAGAATTTGGTGTGGGGGTTGTGTTCTGACAAACATTTGTCCTGTTTATCGATTAATTGCCAGAAAACTAGGACGTGTGAAAGGTATATGTGGGTAGGAGCCATGAAAGAAATGGGAGGTGTTTCTAGGTATGTGAAACATCAGTCATAAAAAGAAAAAGACCAAAGTGGGAAGGGCCCATAAGCCAGAATGGATTCTGTGTCTGTGACGGTGTTTCTGGAGATCTGACCTGGTTATGGTTTTCTTACTTCCAGAATCCACCTCACTTAAACGGGACCGGACCACTGAAAGACACGCCAAGCAGTTCCATGTCGAGTCCTAATGGAAATTCCAACGTCAACAGGGCTAGTCCTGTTAATGCTTCAACTTCTATTCAAAACTGGTCAGTTAACAGGTCCTCAGTTATTCCAGAACATCCTAAGAAACAAAAAATCACGATCAGTATTCACAACAAGTTGCCTGTTCGCCAAGGTCAGTCTCAGCCTAATCTTCATAGCAATTCTTTGGAGAACCTTAACAAGCCTGTTCCCTCTTCTACCATTACCAATTCTTCTGCAATACAGTCTACCTCGAATGCATCTATGATGTCAGTTTCTAGTAAAGTAACAAAACCAACAAATGAATCCTGTCCCAAGCCAGTGATGAATGGCAAATCCAAGCTGAACTCAAGTGTGTTGGTTCCCTACGGCGCCGAGTCATCTGAAGAGTCTGACGAGGAGTCCAAGGGACTAGTCAAGGAGAATGGCATTGGTACGATCGAGAGTTCTCTTTCTTCCAGCCATGATGCTGAAGATGATGAGGCCTCTCAGCATGAGCTTCAAGAGCCTGTTACTCTAAATGGTGCTACTGGTACAGACAGTGACCCGAAAGAGAATGGTCTGCCATTTGATGCTGCCAGCTGCCAAGTCCAGCCTGCTCTACACTCAGAAAACCCTTTTTGTAAGGCAAATGGTCTCCCTGGAAAGGTGAGTGTCAGAAGGTGGGGGGACAGGTTTTGCTTGTAGTCTCATTAGTGACACTTCTCTTGGCTAGATTTCAGTAGGCCTGGAGTTGGCAACTAGAGTTGAAATATCTTTATTTTTTGTTATAGTTGATGCCTGTTCCTTTGCCATCTCTCCCAGAAGACAAAATCTTAGAGACCTTCAAACTTAGCAACAAAGTGAAAGGCTCAACAGATGAAACAAGGTAAAACAAGAATAAATTAGAAGTGGAACCACTTTCCACATAGTAGGAAATGCATATGGATGTCAGTATTTTAAACACAGAGAAGTCTGGCTTGAGGAAGTAACCGCTTGAGCTAAAGCCAACTTGTCTGTATTTTAATTTGGTAGTAGAAGTTTTTTTTTTTTTTTTTTTTTTAAAGCCAGTTAAATTTAGCAGTGGGGGTTGTAGACCAGCTTTAGTGACACTAATGTTAATAAGTTCTGATAACCCACAACAATTGGACCAGCCCTGTAGAAGTCTTATAATGAACATGTGAATCCTGGGACGATCTGAGTAATAATCTATAGACTTTGTTAATTTGCCTTTTAGAAGAATAAAGAAAAAGTTTAGTTTATGGGACTGATAGTCCATGAGAACTTGATGTTCTTAAGCTGACATTTTCTTCTCCTGCACAGCCTCTTCTCTCTGGTTAGTGATGTTATAGTGGCATACTTCTGAGTTCGATACCAAGCATCATCTCATTTAATCTTTTTAATGATGACAAATATGTGAAGACGTATTAAGGTTATAGGGCAGGGATTCTCAACTATATCAAGTAGCACACATTTTGTAATGGCCCCTTCTAGAATTCTGAAATTAAATTTGTAGATAATATAATGTGCCCCCACATGAAATTTTTTTTTTTTTTTTTTTTTTGTCTTTTGTCTTTTTCCGTGTCCGGCAACGGGATCGCAACCCTCGGCGTTGCTCCCGCGCCTCGCTCAGCCAGTGAGCGGGAACCGGTCTGTATGTGGGATCCGAACCCTCGGGCGGGAGCGCCGCCGCGCTTCCCAAGCGGCGCACTATCCAGTGTGCCACCGGGCCGGCCCCCCACATGAAATTTTTTAAGATATCAATATATTAACCTAGGGCCGGCCCGTGGCTCACTTGGTAGAGTGCGGTGCTGATAACACCAAGGCCACGGGTTCGGATCCCATATAGGGATGGCCGGTTCGCTCACTGGATGAGCGTGGTGCTGACAACACCAAGTCAAGGTTTAAGATCCCCTTACCGGTCATCTTTTAAAAAAAAAAAAAAAATATATATATATATATATTAACCTAACTATAATGTAAGGAATAAAAAAAAAGGAAATAAAAATGAGGGA